AACAAATTACTTAGTTGTTCTGAGCCTCTGCTTTTGAAACTGTCAGTAGGAATATTAGTATCTACTTCCCAGGGTTGTTATGAGATGCAGATAAAGAATTTCAGGCGGGGTGCGGTGGCTCATGCCTATAATCCCAGCACTTTGGGAAGCTGAGGTCGGCAGATCACTAGAGGTCAGGAGTTCGAGACCAGCTTAGCCAATATAGCGGAGTCTCTACTGAAAATACAAAACTTAGCTGGGTGTGGTGGCAGGCGCCTGTAGTCCCAGTTCCTCAGGAGACTGAAGCAGGAGAATTGCTTGAACCCAGGAGGTGGAGGTTGCAGTGAGCTGAGATTTCACCACTGCACTCCAGCCTGGGCAACAGAGCGAGACTCCATCTCAAACACAAAAAGAAAAAAGAGTTTCTGAGTGCTGTGTAAGTGTCCTACAACTGCTGTTTAGTGATTTAAAAGGTCTTGCTCGGCTGGGCACAGTGGCTTACACCTGTAATCCCAGCACTTTGGGAGGCCGAGGCAGGTGGATCACCTGAAGTCACGAGTTTGAGACCAGCCTGGCCAACGTAGTGAAACCCTGTATCTACTAAAAATGTAAAACAGCCAGGCGTGGTGATGGGCGCTTGTAATCCCAGCTACTCGGGAGGCTGAGGCAGGAGACTCTTAAACCCAGGAGGCAGAGGTTGCAGTGAGTAGAGATTGCACCACTGCACTCCAGCCTGGGTGACAGAGTGAGACTCTTGTCTCAAAAATAAATAAATAAAAGGTCTTGCTCAATGGGCAATGATGGGGGTATCCCTAGCACAGTGGCTGAAAAGAAGAAGCTTCACCTCCCACAGCTCAGTAGGGAGCATCCCCGGCAGAGGGTGCCCCTGCACATCCTTTGATGAAGGGTTGCCCTTTACCATTGTCCTTCAGGAGGATCCCCTGCCACTGGCTTTCTTTGTCCACGATGCTGAGATCGTCTCCTCACTGGGGAAGACGTTGGAGTCCCAGGCAGTGGAGACTGAGAAGGTCCTAGACATCATCTACCAGCCACAGGCTGTCTTCAGAGTCCGGGCCGTGACTCGCTGCACCAGCTCCTTGGATGGTCACAGTGAGGCAGTCATTTCTGTGGCCTTCAGCCCCACGGGAAAGTAAGGACAACTGCAGACTCATGGAGGGGGTATGTGGGGGTGCAGCCTCTGCCTGGTGTGGGGAGGGTCCCCCAGAGTTGTAACTGATGGGGCCTAAGGGCTGCCTACCATTGACCCAAGCTCTGGACTCAGCTTGCCATTAAGGGACTTCCTCAGTAGGGCATGGTCCCCAAAGGCTAAGGACCCCTTCCTTGGACAAACCTTTCCTGGACTTGATTTCTCAAGATCTGAGCTGTGTGACTTGTATAAATCACTTAACCTTTCTGAGTTAATTTTTCATCTGTGAAACCGGCATTAGTTGCTTATCTCAAACTTAGGAAGGCAATGAGAACTTCAAAAGCTGGTTATAGCTGTGGAGAGGACAGAAATGGCCTCCTGGGGTATTCTCCCAAAGGGCGGCATCATTATTGTCTTTCTCCTTTTCAGGGTCGAGGAAAGAGTCCAGTTCCATATTCTGTTCACAGAAAGTGATTGAATAGGTGGCAGAAATGCACATATACAGTATCAAGCATCCTCTGTTCTTCCCCCAGGTACCTGGCCAGTGGCTCTGGTGACACCACCGTGCGTTTCTGGGATCTCAGCACAGAGACACCACATTTCACATGCAAGGGTCAGTATGCAATTAGCCATTTAGGGGATCTTCTTTTTTTTTTGAGACAGGGTCTTGCTCTGTTGACCAGGATGGAGTACAGTGGTGCAGTCATAGCTAACTTGAACTCCTGGGCTCAAGCTTCGAACTCCTGGGCTCAAGCAGTCCCCCTACTTCAGGCTCCAGAGTAGCTGGGACGACAGGCACTTGCCACCACACCTGCCTCGTTTTTTGTTTTCATAGAGATGAGGGTCTCACTTTGCAGATTACAACCCCTTAATATCCAGTTGGTGGCTGTCTGTTCCTAGGTAGAGATCATGTCCTTGAGCGCAGCCAGCCACTTAGACACAAGCAGAAACTGCACCAAGGAGTCAATATGGGACGTGGGGAAAGGCTGACTGACTGGTAGCAATGAGAACCTAATTTAAATCCTGCCTCTGCCACAGTGGTTTTCAAACTTGAGCACAAATCAGAATCGCCTCACCTTAGGGGCTTGTTAAAATACAGATTGCTGGCCGGGCACAGTGGCTCACGCCTGTAATC